AAAGCCTGGGACTCCATGCAGACCTGACCCAGGGCCAAGTGGGCTGGAATAGCAGCCTTATAGACTGAGCCCTGGAGGCCCTGGCATGGAACTTGGGAGGGGAACTGGCCCACTCACTCCACTCAGCTGTCAAGTGTGTGGTGGATGCCTGATGAGCTGGTAGGAAACAAAGAGGCAAATTGTAATTAGGTCGAAGAACTGTTCATAATCACAGGGTGATGGTAGTTAAGTTTCCCAAAATAAGGGCTGTGGAAAGATGGGCAGCTGAATGCTTGTCATCTGAAGGGAAAACACAGCATGAATCCAATGGTCTTGGATGAAGAAAGGGTTTGACACAGAAGAAAGCCCTGTGTGTTGTACCATTTTGTAAATCTTCTTTAGCCTTCAAAGTGGTTTCCACACAGAGAGCCATTTCCACAGCATGTCAGGGTTGATGCCTCTGATGCCTGTGAGCTCTTGAGGTGCCAAGGTACACATACAAACTTCTGCCTCTGAACAATGCAAGGACCTACTAGTGTGAAGGAGACACCACAAATGTAGTCCTGCCCACAGAGGTGACTGTGGCCCCTGGGTTTTTCCAACCTTCCACCATAGCTTGAAAGAAAGGCAAAACAGGTCCCCAGCCCTAGAGAAAAGGTAATGGAGGGACCCACCCTAATCCAAAGCCACCTGTGACAGAAACAGCTCCACAGAGCAGCAGGATTGGGTCAGCCCAGTATGTGCACCCTAAGATCCAGAGGAAAAAAGGAAAGCTCCCTCTTTTCCCAAAAGCAAAAGCTTTGGGCAGCTCCTTGTCCAGATACAGCCTGAGCCCCAGAAGAGAGCATGACACCACCCGCACCTGCATATCCACCACACCCCTGCACCTGCACCCCTGCCACAACACTGCACCTACACTCTGCCACACCCCTGCACCTGCACCCCTGCCACACCCCTGCACCTGCATATCCACCACACCCCTGCACCTGCACCCCTGCCACAACACTGCACCTGCACCCCTGCCACACCGCTGCATCTGAACACCTGTCATACCACTGCGTCTGTGCACTTGACACAATGATGCACCTGTGCACCACCATACTGTTGCACATGTTCACCTGTACACTGCACCTGTGAACCAGATATACTGCCGCATCTGTACACCTGACAAACTGCTGCACCTGGACTCCTGCTGTCCTGCTGCATCTGTTTTGCACTTATGTACCTGACGTACTTTTCCACATGTGCCCCTGCCACACCTGCTACATCTGCCTAGATCTGCACACCTATTGTACCTGCTGCACCTGCCTATATGTGCCACAGTTGCTGTACTTGCTGTGGCTGCTGCCTAGGCTGAGGAAAGAGGGCTCTGTAGCCAGTTAACTAAGTGTGTTCTATAGAAACCTCTAACTTGCCCTCCTGGTGGTCTGGGGTGTTTCCTGACCTTCAGGACACACTGCTGATTGGCCACAACAAGCAGAGGTTCTTCCCAGACTGCAATTCTGGAGGGCACTGCCAGGGACTCTGACAGTGTACTTCAAGGCTCTTGGTCTGGGTGCCTGAAGGCTCTCACAGGACATGAGAAGACAAAGGAAATGGAGCTCTGCAGATTTCCAAACTCATGGCAGACCTGCCTCCATCATACAGGCTTGGTATCCTGCAAGAACACCCATTATTAGCACAGGGCTGCATAGCCTCGGCTTCCCTGGGCCCTCTGCACACAGGCTGGAAGCCAGACTCTGAGCACGCTTTGAAAGGAGTCACTGTTCAAGGGTCATAATTGCTGGGAGCAGAGAGACCTAGAGGAGGAAAGATCTTGCTCTAGAACCTCAGTCAGGGAAGAGATCGGCAAACACCCACCTGTCTCAGACTTAATCCTGAGGAATGTCCAGGAGAGGGAGAGGCTTATGCTGCCACAGGGGCACTAACACCAAAGCCTGGACACTCATATTCTCCAGGCAAGGTAGGGCTGGCACTTTCTCCAGAAAAGTTGGCACAGAATAAAGCTATACAACATCCCCATCTACATCTAGAGTCCCACCACCCTTTGAGTGGCCCAACTATTCCCACAAAGGTGTGATTCTCCACACATGAATGGCCTGGAAACAGACCCAGAAGAGGAAGTAGAAAGTTTTCAAAAATACTCGAAGATGGAAGAAAATGGTATATTCATGAAACAAGAATGGAGCAGCACTCATAAAGAACCAAAACTAGTGGCTGCCTTGGAAAGGGACGAGGGGAACCCCAAAATGAAAGAAGGATTTAAGGACTGAGGAAATCTCTCTAACATGAAAAATGAAGAGTCAGAGAGAGATAGAAAGCAAGACCAGAGACATAAGGAAACCAAAGGGCACTTCTGGAAGCTTCCAAACAAGATGGCTGACGAGCTTCAGGGAAGAGAGAAACCACAGGGAAGCTGTGGTCACTATTTAACAACAGGCCTCCAGCCCCCTGCCAACCAGTTATCTGCAGATCTCCTGAAGTGGGACAAAGGGGGCACAGCCCCTGGACATGAACTTCAGACCGCCTAGGACAAGGAGGATACTGGGCAGGGGGAGGACTGAACTTCTTAGAGCACTGAGGGCTGGGATGGGGAGCCAAGCCCTTGGGACAGAGGGACAACATGCCCAGTGACCCAGCCTATCAAGACTTGTTGAGTTCATGCTAAGACATGGAAAATACCAACATGGACCCCTCCGCACGCCCGCCCCCCCCACCTCTATCAGGGCTCTACCTCACTCAGGAAGGTTGTGACGATTAATGTTGCCAGTTGGATTAGAATCACCATGGAAACACCCCTTGAGGTGTGTTGGTGATGGTGTTTCTAGAAATATTTGACTTAGATAAGAAAACAATAACTAGCACAGGAGTGAACTCCCCTGGGCATCCACAGGAGGGTAAAGGTCAACACACTTTGAGCCTTGCGGCAGATACAGGTGCCTAGATAGACAGACAGCCAGAAACTCAGAGAAAAAGAACAGCCTCATCTGGGTTTGATGTGAATTGAAGTAAAACTTACATAACCCAGAATTAACCAGTCTAAGTTACTCAGTTGAGCATTTAGTACATTTCTAATGTGTTGCTGTCTTACTCCCAAGCCCTGTTACCAGAACAGAAGCTCCTACCCATGGGCAGTCATTCTCATCCCCCAGCACCCCTGCCCAGTCCCTGGCAACCACTAATCTACTTCCTGTCTCTGGTTTCATCATCCTGGGCAACTTGTATCAGTGGGCCCCTACCACATGCCTTCTGTGTCTGGCTCCTTAGAGCAATGGAAGTCTCAGAGGGCCAAGAATTACTGGGATAATGGCAAAGAGGCTTACATACATCCCACCCGCCACGTGGTGCCTCCCTAGATGCCAGGATGTCCCTGGAATACAATGAAGAGTACATACAGGAACTGTTCTAATGTGAACCCCATCCTTACCTCCCCAGGATTTGTTTAATGGGAACCTGCTTCCTGAAGAACATGGCTGCCATGGGCATTGCTGTGGAGGCTGCCTGTGGGGACAGAGTGGGTGGGATATGTTGGTTAGAAGGTAGACGCCAATGGACAGCTCATCAAATGGTTTGCTTGTCTCTGTCTCTCTCTGTTTCTCTGTCTCTGTCTCCTATCTCTGTCTTTTTGTCCCTGTCTCTGAGTATTTATCAACAGTGCACGCACATACACACACACACACACACACACACACACACACACACACACACACACACCACAGACTTTTGCAATCAAATAAACCAAACTTGCCAATGAAGAGCACTGAGTCAAGGATCCTCTTCTCCCGGTGCCTGCAGGGCAGCTCCCCAGGTGGACATGAGGCCTTGCCAAGCTATGGAAGGAGGGAAAGACGGTGAGACCCTTCCTTCCCCTCGCACTGAGGCCCAGGTGGCAGAGTCGCCTTCTCTCTGTGGGTTTGGACATGCTGGGGTTTTAGATGATGTGTTTCTTATGCAGTCATCATCAGCAAACACCTGGCCCCAACCATGCCAGAGAACCTTGCTCCTGCCACAGGGAAGTTGCCATCTGGTTGTCTGGGAAAGAAAGAGGACACAGGGAAACACCACTCAGTCTGGGAACCAGTTCAGGTTGGGGACAGAGCTTTCACCCTGGATGTTTAGCACAGGAACTGCCAGCTCCTCCCCACACCTGCGTCTGGCCCTCACGGCATTTAAACTGTTTCAATAGCTTTGCTGAGGTGTGACTTACATTCCATACAGTCGTCCTTTCATAGTGTACAATCCAATGGCTTTCGTGTCACCTTCACCCCAGGAAGGGTGTCCCCTTTGTTGCACATGGTCAAGCCTCCTTGCCACCCCTGCCAGCCAGCATTGGTCTGTTCCATCTGGCGGCCTCCAACGACTGCGATTTCTTAGTTGTGGAAGCACACACATGTGGCCCTTGGCCACTCACTTGTCTTTGAAGCTCACCATTGACTTGAGCCAGGGAGTCATTCCGTCTTCCAGAAACATGAACCACTGTCGGCCCACTCAGTGGCACACACACACACACACACATACACACACACACACACACATACACGGGGGTGCACGGATGCAAAAGTACAAATAAGTAAACAAACTTTCAGATTGTTTTCCTGAGCTGGCTGCCCCTTGTCACTCTTGGCTAATGGGGAGTGAGGTTCTAGTTTCCCTATACTCTCAACACAGTGTGGTGTTACCTTCTGGGGGTGTGAAGCTCACCTCTGGTCCTATAGAGCTAAGGATGGGATGGGGCATCTGCTGGAGCCTCAGCCCAATGGCTTTCCTGAGGTGCCTCCTCGTTCTCTGCTCCCCTCCCCCATATTTGTGTGGAGGGTTCTGTGTATGCTCCGACTGCAGTCCTTTGTCAGAGACATGCCTGGAGACCTCCTCTTGCCGGGGCAGAGCTTCTCAAAGCTGTCTCAGTGTCATCTCCAGAAGTCCAATTTTGGCTTTTTTGTCTCATCGTGTGTGTTCTGTGTATCTGCTAAATCATTTCCTGACATGTGACCACAAAGTACAGCTCCCATCTTCTTTTGCAGTTTGGCTCTGCCAAGTCTTGGATGCGTTCTGATGGACTCGTCTTTTGCAGGAGCTCTCATCCCACATGCATTTTAGAGGGCAGGAGCGCTCACAGCTACGCACTGGAGAAACCAGGACTGTTCATCAGCAGGGTTGCCTCCTCGGTGGAGGAGATGAACACCTGTTTTCCACCCAGAAGATTGGAAGCAGATGCTGCTACTGACCCGGAGACCTTTGCTCTCTGTAGAGCCAAGCCTCATGCAAATCCCCCAGAATTTTTATCCCAGACTCTCCCTCCCTAGACCTTTATCTTTAGTTTTGTTTCTCAGTCAATAGAACCCATCCTTAGGGGAGATATCACATGTACTTTAGAGCTCACCTCTCTGCAATCTCAAAGACCACACCAGATCCTAAGCCCTTAAGCTATAGAACCCATCTTCATGGTAGAGGTAACATGTACTTGGCAAAAGAGTTTCAATGTAATCACAACTCAAGATTCATTGTACACATGGGATTGAGATGTTACCAGGAAACTTTTTTTTTCCAAAATTATGCTGCATTTTAATACTTCTAAAATAAACTGCCTAGTGTCAAATTCCCGAAGCTTGATCCAGCCTGGCTAACTAAGTCACCCTGAACCAAGTTCCCCTGGTCCCTCCTGCGGATTGTTTCCCTGCTGGCCATGAAGCTTGCAGGAACCCCTGCAATACATGACCTGCAGCCAGCATCATATGCTGGAAGCCCATCTTCTCCTTACAGAACCCGATGAGAACCAACTGGACTCACTCAAATGTCTGCACTAGCATGCAGAACTGGCCTACCAATTCAGACCCAAACAACTAATACTTCAGGCACTGAAACAAGGAGGCTGGTCGCTCTGATTTGTCTCTTTTCCATGACTGCCTGGCTCCTCCAGCTCCCCGTGTCTCCGCCTCACCACGGTTGCTCATAGAGAACCTCTCTCTTTTGTAGACATGGTGGCAGGTCTTCCTATCGATCCAAGATCCTTCTCTGTTCTAGTTCACAGCTTGGATCTGGGATTTAACCCGGCACAGCTTGAGTGACCACTAGGAAGAGAGTTTCTGTTAGACCCTGCCAGGGTCTAGCCTGGCCTGGCGCCATGTTCTGGAATCAAAAGCTCTAGGTCACCCGGGTAAGGCCAGTGTGGCCAGCCTGAGCACCATTATGGGTGCTGCTCACCCCAGAGCAAAGCAAATCAGTGTGCACAGCAACAGACCCTGGCTTTCTCCTCCAGCAGCCTCAAGACAGAGCAGGGAAGCCCTTTGTGTCCCTCCATTTTACTTTCCCATCTAACCAGATGAAACTGGCTGGAAGCCACACTTTGCAGACAAATTAAGTATCTTCATCTCAAGTCTCCAGCCTGGACAGGGGTTTGTCCCAGGCAGCAGGAAATTCCTTGTCTTGATCATGTGGAGTGAAATGAGGCCACTAACTCCAATGCCAGGTGTTAATAGTCTGATCCGCCCCTTGAAATCCCACCCCTTGATTCTGCCCTGTATCCTGACATAAAAGCCTCATTCTAAGGGAAAACTCCTCCCCTTCCTCTCTCTCTCCTGCTTTTCCTCCCATAAGGTGTACACCCTTAACTTCTCTCTTCTTCTCTCTCTTTCTCTCTGTCTCTCTCTTTCCAATCATCTCTTTCCATCATCTCTTTATTATAATAAACTCTCCTCGTGGATGCAGCGTCTGGGTTGTGAATTACTGGCCACTGCCTCCATGCCCACGTGGCATGCATCTGCCCAGCATGTTTCGAGAGATACCCTCAGGGGTCCCCCCAAGCAATAATTGATAACACCAGGGATTCACAAAAACAAGACAAGTCTCACAGGTCAACCATCAGTGTGACTACAGCTGCACCAGACATCACATATGGTGCCAGCCAAGGAAAGCATGTCTTTGTCTGCCAGCCTGAACTCTGTGTAGCCAGAGTCAGCAGTCATGTCTAGCCTGGCACATGCATCCAGGCAGATTACCTACAAAGCTTTTCCCTATGAAACACACACACACACACACACACACACACACACACACACACACACACGCACGCACGCACGCACGCACACGCACACAAACACGCACGCACAGAGACAGAGACAGAGACAGAAAGAGTAGAGTTTTAACCTCTACTCTCCCGGTAGCTTTATGGTCTTGGGCCTGACCATTCCAGATTACTATTTAATAAATGCTTTCTGTGAGATGGCTACTCACTGCTTCTCTTTCCTTCTGGAGAAGAATAACATGATCAAGTTGACCTGAGCTTCCTTGAACTTTCAGAATCAACATGTCTGGGAGCATGAATTCTACTTGAATGGCCACAGACATGGTGTTTCTGCTGACATCTTCCCCGCGGGACCCTGAAGACTCATCACACACCAGTCACAGAAGCGTCTGGAAGCAAGCACAATGCTGCAGCATTTTACTTTTTTTTTTTTAATTTCTGCTTTGTGGATTTATCTAGATCTGCATTTTGCATTCTGTTTTCAAAATACCTTTAAGGGAAGTTTTTAAAAGATCATTTTTGCCTTGGGGCAAAAACAAGGAAAATTGCTGTGGAAAACATGCCCACAAAATAGATGTATTGAGGCTTGCTCAGAACTTCCCATGGTTAATGGATTTTAACGGCCTGAATATAAGAATCATTTCTGACAATTATGTCTAAACCACTTACACATGAAAGGCAGCAGGGAAAAGTGAGGAGCGTTTCTGAAGCTTGCCAAGTCTGGGCCAAGGTAAAGTCTTTTCGGCTTCTGAAGGTGAGCAGGGGGCTGAGGACACAGCTAGAGAAGAGGTGGCACCAATGTGAGATCATCCTCTCCCAGGGCCCCTGTGCCTGACCCAGGGCTGGCTCGTGACAGCAGGAGAGGGACCCCTCCAGTGTCACAGACAGCCATAGTAGCCACTGCTTCCTGTCACCCAGTCTCCACCCTGGCTGGGGGACACTGAACTGTCCCCGCGGACACACAACCCGAGACCCAGGCCCGGCAGGACAGAGGTTCTTTTTGCTGAAGGTGGAGCAGGTGTCGATGGCTGCAGATTGGAATCGGCAATTTTCCTGGTCCTGTGTGCAGTAACTCTGAAGGGTGGGGTGACAGGGACCTGGTGCTTCTTTTCTACAGGGACTGTCGAGGAACAGTAAGGGACTGCCTGAACCCCAAATGCATCTAGACTGAACGACCTTCCCTCGGACTCATATTTCCCTTTATCCTGTCCTTACCTGCAGGCTGAGGCTAGTCTGGGGACCTGGGGACCCTCCTCTGTGTAGGGAGCCTGTGAAAACCGACACAGAGCAGAATCTGGCGTTGCCTGTGAACCTTGATGTGTGGAATTCAGGGAAACACAGAATGGGAGCCAGGAGTGAAGGCAGGAGCCGCAGGGCAGGTGGGACAGAGCACGCATGAGACTTAAGGAAGGAGTCAAAATACAGTCAACACTTCCGTGGGGAGCATCAGTCCTGGCAGAGTATGGGCTTCTCACCTCGATAGAAAACGGCCCTTAAGTCTTGAGCGTGAGTAATGTTTTAAGACAAAGTTACATGAAGTCAAAATAAAGGATCAGCAAGTAATCCATTTCAGTCGCTGATAAGCGGGACAGGGCTTCCTGTGTCATATTACCGTGTCTAATTCCACCCAGGGCTTTGACTCCCCTCGGGTACCAGGTGTCAGCGGTGACATCTGTGCGTGTGGCTGCAGCTTCACTCTGACTGAGCTTGGAGCAGACGCCCGCACCTCCCATTGTGGTGAGGTTAATGTGGGTCCCGCACACTCCACTGCGATGGCTTAATTTAGCAGTGGTTTAGGCTCCTTGTGCACTCATGCTAATTACCCTGGGAACACTGAGCCGAGTGACATTATGCATGCTAAGCGAGCTGCCTCGGAGCCTTCTCTATAATTATATTTTCTTAGGTGAACATGTGTGTGGCTCAAAATCTGAATGTTTGACAGCTCTGGGCACTTAGCGCCGTGTTTACATGATGCCCTACGTGGGAAGGCCTGAGTGAAGGGATGCTGCCTGCCTGGGCTCTCCCTCCCTTGGCCCTGATGTCTATCTGGTATTGGTAGTTCCTGCGTAACTAAAACAACTGTGGGGCCCTCTTAGTGTCTGCTGGTTCTACCAGCTGGACGGGGCCTCCCGGTCAGTGAGACTTCACCACAATAAGAAAGGCTCAAAGATGGTTCCTGACCTAGATCTGCTTACCACAAAGTCTCAGGTTTCCTATGGTGGTTTGAATAAGAATGACCCTCATAGGCTCAAGTATTTGGATGCTTAAGCACCAAAGGGCTGGAGTAGGAGATGTGGCCTTGTTGGAGGAAGTGTGTCACTGGGGGTGGGCTCTGAGGTTTCAAAAGCCTGTCTCACGCCCAGAGTCTCTCTCTTGGCCCATGGATGAGGATGTAGCTTTTAGCTATTTTGCCAGCACTACACTTGCCTGCTGCCATGCTCCCTGCCATAATGAAAATGGGTTAAAGGTTTGAAACTGTGAGCAAAGTCCCAATTAAAGGGTTCCTTTTGTAAGAGTTGCCTTAGTCATGGTGTCTCTTCACAGCAACAGGACAGTGACTAAGACACTCCCATCACAAGTAGAACTGCAGGAGAGCCACCTCAGACACCTGCAGACATGCATGCACGCATGCTCCCTCCATGGCACCTAGTAGGAGAATGAATCAGCCATCGCCATAGAACTATCAAAATGAAAAGTTCTTTTGGATCCATCCATTTGCCTGTAAACCTCATGATGTCATTGTTTTTCTCTGATGAGTAGTATTCCATTGTGTATATGTGCCACAATTTATTTATCCATTCTTCAGTTGAAGGGCATCTAGGTTGTTTCCAGGTTTTGGTTATTACAAACAATGCTGATATGAACATAGCTGAGCAAGTGCTCTTGTGGTATGATTGAGCATTTCTTGGGTATATGCCCAAGAGTGGTATAGCTGGATCTTGGGGGAGATTGATTCCCAATTTTCTAAGAAAGCGCCATATTGATTTCCAAAGTGGTTGTACAAGCTTGCATTCCCACCAGCAGTGGAGGAGAGTTCCCCTAGTTCCACATCCTCTCCAGCATAAGGTGTCTTCAGTGTTTTTGATCTTAGCCCTTCTGACAGATGTAAGGTGGTATCTCAGAGTTGTTTTGATTTG